CCTGTAAGTTCAATTCGACCTTTTGTCCCTCTAAGTTCAATTCGACCTTTTGTCCCTCTAAGTTCAATTCTACCTTTTGTTTGTTCGATCTCTAGTCCCTCTAAGTTCAATTCGACAATTTGTCCCTCTAAATTCAATTCGACCTGTTGTCCATTCGGCCTTTTGTCCCGCTAAGTTCAATTCGATCTTTTATCGGTCTAAGTTCAATCCGAGTTTTTGTCATTGTAAGTTCAATTCGACCTTTTGACCAGTCGAACTTTTGTCGCTGTAAGTTCAATTCGACCTTTTGTCTCTCTAAGTTCAATTCTACCTTTTGTTCGTTCGATATTTTGTCCCTCTAAGTTCAATTCGACCTTTCGTCCATTCGACCTTTTTTCTCCTTTTTTCCATTAGAATTTTTGTCCATTCGATCTTCTGCCGTTCTATGTTATATTCGACCTTTGGTCCATTCGAACTTTAGTCCCTTGTTTTCATTTCGACATTTTGTCCCTTTAACCGTTGTCCCTCTAAGTTTAATTCGACCTTTTGTCCCTCTATGTTCAATTCGACCTTTTGTTTGTTCGATCTTTTGTCCCTCTAAGTTCAATTCGATCTTTTTTCCATTCGAACTTTTGTTCCTGTAAGTTCAATTCGACCCTTGGTCCCTTCGAACTTTTCTCCCTCAAATTCGACCTTTTGTTGGCTTAGGTTCAATCCGACCTTTTTTCTTGTAAGTTCAATTCGACCTTTTGTCCCTGGAAGTTCAATTTGACATTTTGTCCATTCTACCTTTTGTTCTTCGACATTTTGTCCTTCGACAACTTGTCACTCACGGTGAAGTGATTCCCATTTGATTTACACGGCAATCACTTTACCGTGAGTGACAACTGGTCACTTCACTTCGTTTTCACCGTGAAATGCCACCCATAATAAGGGCCCATGGATTAGATTCAACTCAAGTGGCTTCATGAGTGACCTTTAAAGTATGTATTAGTCGTTGCCGGAGAACTTAAGGGTTGTCAAATCAATATCAAGATCTATTCCCAATGTCTCTTGGGTCATCTCGTCAAGTCTTATGTGATAATATTAGAGTCTCCTGATTCAGCTGCAAAGGTCTATCGCAGGCTTGCTTCCACTCACTTGCTATAAAAAATTGTTTTTCGGAATTATGAAATCATTAGATATTATAATGATAGTTAGTAGTTGTAAGTCACAAGATAAGGTTGTAAACTAGGTGTTTGACACATTAATTTTTGTCGGTATTGCTTTCAGTGCGTCACAATAAGCGATTTTACGATTCGTGAGCGCTCACTCTGAGTGAACGCTCACGCGTCATAAATGCGCTGATTGTGACGCACTGGAAGCGAAATTGACTGGTTTGATGTGTCAAATACATACCTTCCAACCTCTTCTTGTTTCTTACAAGTACAAACTTTCATAATAGCATCTAATGATTCCATAATTCCGAAAAACATTTACTATAGCGAAGTGAGTGGAAGTAACCTTAGTCTATTGGGTTAAGTCCAGTAACTTCACTATTCAACTTTGGGACCCTTACGAACCTGCAGTGAGTTTATGGATTAAGTTCAGCCTCCTGACTACGAACTTTGACACAGATTCCCGAGATAGCTAAGGAAAGTTTATGAGTTAATTCCAGGAGATTTATGAGTCAACTTCAAAGGGGGGCTGTTCATAAACTACGTTGACAAGTCTGCAGTTCATACAAATTGTTGAAAAATGTGTAAACAACGTGTCTATGCAGTGGGAGGGGGAGTTAAAATCTAATACTGTCTATATAGTTTATGGACAGGCCCTTATGAGTCAGCTTCAGTGGCTGTAGCAGCACTGAAATGTAAGTAGAGAGGCATTGTTGATCTGTATTGATAGCTTCCCAAGTAACAATTTCGATTTTATGAGGGTTCTGTAGACCATGATTTGCACTTGTAGAATGCTTCAAAACCTCGATCAAACTTGCAATGTTAGTTGGGTTAAGATATAGAAATGAGTGAGGGACTTTTGATCAACTTCAGTGGCTGTATAAAAAAAAAAATCTATTGGGTCAACTCAAGATATCTCGTATGGCAACACCAAAGGCTCATAGGCTGGGTTACCTTTTTGGATCAACTCTAACTAGCTGAAGAGGTACCTTACGTATAATTTTCTGTGCTATTAAAGACCAAGGTCGTCTGTTGGAGTCTTATGCGTAACTTGATAATGCTCTGTCCGCAGGCCTTATGGATTAATTATAATCGTAAGCCTCTACCTTCTCGATTGATCTAAGAGATTATGTGGCAGATACCTTGAATGTGTAATTAGAGCAACTGCGGTTGATATTACAAGCTGTGATACCGTAGCTAACAAAACTCACCAGCTACAATTCTAACCAAATCGTAGTGACTTTGAGTTTCATGATTTTTACTTTCATCCGAACGCAACCCGAAACTAACGTTACTGCTGGCAGCAGTAGCTCCGTGTCTGCCATCGAATAAGAATAAAGAAAGATAGCAATCTATGCTTTCTTTTTCTAAGAAAACGATGTGCAACGGAATCATTTTTGTGTCGAGTCAACTCTCAGCTTCATTTTCACATGTTGTGAATAGTCTCGCAATGGCCAAGGGGTTGCGATATCACGCGTGATATTGAGAGCGTATGCGGGTGGAAAAATGTAATTTGATAGATGCTTTTGCCAACACTGATCTTGCTCTTCTTGGTTAATTCGAACTGCTTAATAGGATAAGTTCTAGTGCCTTTGATAGTTCAATCCAAGGATGATTTTCGGAGATCATTTCTTCGCAATCGCAGCTCTGCAACCGCAGCACGATTATCAGCGCGGGTACTGTTTGTACAATCAAATAGCAACATTTTTAAGACGCTGAAGCTCACAAATTAATCAGGTTTTAATATATTTCAAACAGGTGTTGGAAAAGTACTTTTACTAGAAGGCTTCTGTAGAGTTTAGAAGGTATTTATTAACCGATGGAAGCCGCATCTGCCATGTAGGAAGCAACCTACCCGTCGATCTTGTTTTCCGTACTGAGCACCAATGCTACCGACGCCAGGGAGGCAGCTCCCACACCTGGACCCTACCTATCGACCCATCAACTCATAAACCGGGAACCAACTGCTTTACTTCTCGTCCGAAGGAAGGCGTGATCAGAGATGTTATGCCTCAGAACCAGTGCTGATAAAAATCATTCCTTCTACAGTCAACATAACTGAAAATGAAGACAACCTTAACAGATAGACCAACTACGTGCATGAATCTGAATTTTGACATAACAACATTCTCTTGATCAAGGCAACCTCTGAGTATCGTAGTCAACATTTGTTTTTCTTCATTAGTGGATATTCATTATCGCCTCCGTTGTTGTCAATATTAATATTCGTCTTCATCTTGGTTGTCATTTTTGAGAATAAAGTTAGAACTAGCACCTTTGGTGGTTATCTCTCCGATTCATTGTACTGGAGCAAAAACCTGATAAACACAAACTAATACAATTAAACTCTAAAATGGTACAATTGAGATCTCCAACTGTCACTCTAAAGTCACGGTTGCAGGTGAAAATATGCCCTACATTGTATTTTGATGGCTTGATCCTCGGTGAGAACACACATGAATAACGGTTTCCGTTTCGATCGAAAAACATACAAATTTATCATTTCATTCCTGGGATGTACCCATCAAAGCTGACAGCCAATTTTCGATCAATGTTCCGAATCCTACCGAACAACTTTTCGAGCAAGTTAACCGTTCAGGATCCATTTTTCCGCTCCGTTTTTGCCGTAAATCAACCGAGGGAAAAAAAATAACACATGATATCAAGGAAGACAAGTGTCAAATTTACCCAAAAACATACTCATCCAGGTGATCGAGAATTTCCAGATCCAAAAACCACTTTTCCCCTGTCACTACTTTCGGAACATCGACGACGACGACGACGTATAGAGTAATCTGATACCAAGAATTCTCACTCAGGAAAACCGGTAAAATTTGTGTAATTTTATCCGCTTCAATCCCGATCTCTTCATCGCAACAACCATCCTCCAAGACGACGACGACGACGACGATGATGATGACGATTATGGAAGGTGGTAACAGAATAACAAACTTCAATTCAGTTGTTGTTATTGCAGGGGCCAGGCGGGAAAGGAGGAAGAATATGTAGCAAAATGATTGTGATCCGGTCCACCGATCCTCGGTATCGGTTTTTGCTCCACACTGATATTCGCTTTTGCGTCCGCACTCGCTCGCTACGAATAGGGAAGAACTATTTAGGAATGTAAATTATATTCAGTAAACTACTACGGGCTAATGATGTCGTTAACGTTCGGACGATTAGAGGTAACGTTTATAGCTCTCGCCTCGCGGACCTCGGTCATTTCGATTTTGACAGCCGATCCCGTTTTAATTTTTTGTTTTGAATCTGCCATAGCGAGTTATCGCTATGGTGGCCGTTGTAGGGAAGGAAGTGAATTTGTTTTGACCCAATAACATAATGGCGTCGGGGCGCTTCTGAGAGCAAAACGATCGATTGCGATCGCGATCATTAGCGGGTATCAGATGAGGATCATTTTGGGATGGAATTTGAAATCGATATGCTAATTTTTGGGATCTGCGGTGGCAGTCCATTACGTGGTGCGTTTTGGTCGCATAAATGTTTACGAATGGGTAACATTTCAGCGATGCAACGTCGTGGTTGCAGTGGTGACATCTATCGTCGGTGGCGATAAAATCACGAAACTTATTTGTTCGACACCTCGCTTATTACTGCTTATTGACAGCTCGTCGTGTGCAGCGTGCTGCGCTGCGCTGCTGCCGGGAGGCAGTATCAAATGATCTGATTATCTCGCACCTTTTCCAGCTTTCAGTAAAATAGAGGCCCGGAGTTCGGCCGGTGCGTGGTCGTGTGTCACATTGACAAGCTACCACATCAAACAAGCTTTCATTTTCGCCTTTTTTAGCCAATTTTATCGCATTCTAATCGCATCGATTCTCTCTCTCTTTTCTTTACTTTTTGCAGATGCATGTGTGAACCCGGATACACTGGCAAAAATTGCGAGTCCCACTACATTCCCTGTTCGCCATCGCCGTGCCAAAACGGGGGCACTTGCAAGCAGTCGACGAAATTTTCCTACGAATGCAAATGTCCGCCAGGTAAGATCATTATTTCTGTATCTCTTCACATGTGACCACTACACCAGGGAAAAGAAAAAAAAATAGTCGCAGCAGGCCGCTGTTTAACACATTTTTCGCATTTCCCACACGCGCGGCCTACTGCAAAACCCGAGGCTCTCGCCTCTCAGGGGAAGATTGACAGATTTATGCAATCATTATTAGAATTCTATCGGCTCATTAAGATGACTGCTGCTGCATGCAGCAGCGGCATCTATTGAGTGAGAGTGCGGCTGCCACAATGTGTCACGCGTGCAATGCCCACATAACCTCACTGCTTCATCCCGACAATAATGGTTGTATCATTGCACCGACCGAGACCGAGACGACGACGCAACGATGGGCTGGCGGGATTGAAAACCGAACAAGAATCCCATTGTTGTTGCTGCCAACTCATCCTGGGCTCACCTGATGGGGTGTCTTCGTTCGCCGCTCGATCTGCTCAAAGAAGCCTATTGTAAGGGAGTCATTTTTCTTCAACTTGTCCGAATTAACACCTTTCTTGTGGAGACCTGCCTACTTTGTTGTCACTTTGATCACTTTGAATAACAGTAAATTCCAATCAGCGGTGAGAACTTGATGACTGGATTTCCCGAATTTCCCGGTAGTCATCGCTGTTTACACGAACGATCATGATGGTAGAATAAGCTTACCTCCTGCACACGTGACATCCACGGGGCTTTCACAATTACGTAACGGCACGATCCACCCATTCGCACCGATGTGCGCAGGTTCTTATTTCGTAATCCGGGAGCGATCATGTTTTCCAGAATCTCATGGCTCCTGCCAACACGATCTACCCTGCGGGAAAAGGGTGTTCCGTGAAATCGACCGCAATCCCACCAAGAACGGGACGGGAACTCTTCTTCCCAGCGGAACAAAGCAACTTCCCCAAAGGGAAAAACTCGATTTGCACCGAGGTCGTCCCCGTCTTGTGTGTGATAATTTTCCAACGATCTGCTTTGCGGTCTCCTTCTCTATGCTGTGCTGCATGGAAGAATGTCCTACCCCTGAACACGTTCTCAAGAGAACGTTCCGCATGTAAGGGAACTCTCGACGGTACAAACCCTGTGGTCATTTCCCATCGCAAAGCGGCACGGTTCATAATTAATAAAGTACCTTCGTACCATCATAACCCACAACCGTACGGCGTTCTTTGTCTTAGTTTATTTATGTCAAATCGTTGGTTTGCCTGGCAACGGCTTCGCCGTAAAATGGCCAAATGGAAAGTGACCACTCTCCACCACCTTCTCCTCTGAAATGCTGCGATTCTCCACGATTCGCTTCAGGACCGCTGCGCAGCGCGTCCATCAATCCGGCCGTCATCGATCGTAACGACGTGGCGAAAGGGTCATTAATTATTGGTCCTATCTTCCTGTACGTTTCGCGACCCCCGCCCTCACGTGTACGTACGCCGCAAAACTAGATCAGATCGACCTACTAAGACGACGACGACGACGGACATCCAAGTGGGCACTCGCTCTTTCTCGATAGATGTTGCGCTGGTTGTGTTGCCATGGCGACGAAGGTGGCGGGGACACAATAATCATTCATTTATCTTCCCTCCGGGCCGGTCGGGGCTTTTCAAGCCTCCTCCGCCCGCAACGCCACCGCCCTCTACAGGGGCGGCACGGTGCGGGGCGAAATGGAGAATAATAATAACAATAACGAAATATTGCGGGACCGTGATTACCCGGGGCCATTCTGCGATCCAAATCCGTCCGCCGAACCGAACAAGCGAATGCGGACAAAAAGACTGCTCTCTAAGATGCGATCCAAAGTGGAGGTCCAAAAATGTGGAAATTGCCGCAGCCGCCGCCGCCGCCGACGACGATGGGCTGAAAAGGGAAAAAGATCAAACTCCATTTCAGTCAGCAGTACATGATGGGCTGCAAATGCCGACGAAGGAGGATTGGAAATTGAACAAGAGAGTTCGCCGGATTGTGACTGCTTGTGGCTGCTCCGGCTGTAATTGAGGTGTGGTAAGATTTCGGTCTGGAAATGTGCCATCTTGTAATTGCGCGTCCAGTAAGGGCGAGTACTGTGGAGATTTGACAGCTCTGCTGGGCGATTGCTAATTTAAGAGGGGTTCTGGAAAACAAGTGCGAGAACATGTTTTTTTTTTTGGGAAACTGAGAACACCGCCTATTTCACGGTATTACGCTGAGCTGCCTGCAGTACTTATTTAGGGGATGGCAAAAGCAGGTCTTAATGTCTCAGGGATGAGTACAGTTCTGGTCTAAGTCAACATTCAGGAGCTTTCCACCTTTATAATCAGTTCAACCAATATTTGAAAAGTCTACAAATCAGCCCAGTGAAGAGGATTCGGACGGAAGAGTCTCAGATGAGTTTAGATGATTGATAGTAAATCTAGCTAACGACAATGGTAAACTCAGAGATCAACAAGCTCAGGGCTCATCAAATGAAATTCCAGTAAACCTTAACCCCAGAGGATCGCAATTGGAAGCCCGGCCACGTCTTGGAAACTTTGAGGACATCTAAGGTGTATCTAGAATATTCCGAACCCAAGGAACCTCCGAAGGGAAGTCTACAAGATGAAAAAGATCTTGAAATCCAGAAGTCCCTGAAGTTCAATGGGCATGCTCTTGAAGATCTCCAGTCTGGTAATCTAGCTGCAAATTCAAATTCTCACAATGAGCTACAGCATTGATTCAGAAGGTCTCAAGAGCAGGTCAAAGCGAACTCAAGGATGAGAAGTCGCAGATGCTTCCGATGAGGTAGTACAAATTCTGGGGATCTTCAGGATCAGTTTAACCAACCTGGGAAAGCCTAGTGAACTGTCCTTGGAAGGTCGATAAAAAAAAAACCAAATCGGTCAAAGGTAGAGGACTACTAGCGAAAGCCCAAAAACCCTAAAGGTTTGTATAGACCAGTTTCAGCTAATCTTAGAGGAATCTTGGAAGCAATTTCCCTGGACATCAGTAGTAAATCCAGTTGGACCTCAGGTAAAAATCCATAAACTTTTTCTTGGACTCTAATGTCAAAATTGACGACGTTTTTGCCAATCTCTGAAGACCTCAAGAGGAAGCCCAGATGACGTTTAGTGGAATTGGATTTCTAAAGTGGTGTTCGTTGATGGGTGATAAAAAGTTTCTTCGGGTATAAATCTAAGGGATTCCGATGCCAAAAAAGCTTTTCAAAACAAATCCATAAATAGGAATAATTTCTCAAAACTGCCCTAACATCTTGAGGATTTCCAATTTAAAAAGCCATGTGGCTCTTTTGCACGTTGGCTCTACTGGTCGAATTGGTCTTTAATTTAGGGTCTTCCAGAATTTTCCTGAACATCTGCCAGAAATTTGATCTCTTGCACGTTGGTCTTAAACCCTGAATAGTTTCTGAATTTCATCGAACATATTCCTGAAGTTCTCCCAGAAGTTGCCTGAAGTCCTCCCAGAAGTTGCCTGAACTTCTCCCAGAAATGATCTGAACTGCTCCTAGAGGGTGCCTACATCAATAGTTGCCTTAATATATCCCAGAATTTGTCTAAAATTTCACAATTTTCTGAAATTTTCCCAGAAGTTTCCTGAACTTCTTCAAGACTTTCCTGAACTTCTTCAAGACTTTCCTGAACATCTCCCATAAATTAGATCTCTTGCACGTTGGCTCCACTGGTCAAATTGGTCTTTAACCCTGAATACTTTCTGAAGTTCATCGAACATATTCCTGAAGTTCTCCCAGATACCAGAACTTCTCTCAGATTTTGTCTGAAATTCTCAGAGAAATTGCCTGGACTTCTTCTCGAGGGTGCTTAAACTTCTTCCAGTAGTTGCCTTAACTTCTCCTAGAGGGTGTTTAAACTTCTCCCACCCTCTTCCATCATCTGGTGAAATTTTTCTTCAACCCTGAATACTGAACATATTCCTGAAGTTCTCCTAGAATTTGTCTAAACTTCTCCTAGAATTTTTGTAAACTTCTCCCAGAAATTGCCTAAACTTCTCCTAGAAGTTGCCTGAACTGCTCCTAGAGGGTATCTAAACTTCTCCCACACTCTTAGAAGCATCAATTTTTTCCTAATTTCGTGTCTGTTATGACTCAGTTTTATGATAACATTGACGCCCCTATATGTCAGTTTCAGAGCACATAATATACATGATTTTTTATAAGTATGCAGTAGTTCCCTCAACTTCTAAAAGAAGTTTTCTGAACTTATCCCAAAAATGCCTTATTTTCTCCCATAGCTCCCTCATCTTCTACCAGAAGTTCCCTGAAATTTTCCCATAAGTTTCCTGAAACTTACCCATAAGTTTCCTGAACTTCTCCCAGAAGTTTCCTAAACGTATCGCAGAAGCTTCCTTAGGATCTCGTAGAAGTAACCTGATCATCTCCCAGATTTTTCGAGAACTTCTCCCAGAAATTTGATCTCTTGCACGTTGGCTCCACTGGTTGGTTGATTGTATTCATGAAGTTCTTCCAGTAGCTGCCTGAGCTTATCCCAGAATTTGTCTGAACTTCTCCTAGAATTATCTTCTTCCAGAAGTTCCCTGAAATTTTCCCATAAGTTTCCTGAACTTCTCCCAGAAGTTTCCTAAACGTATCGCAGAAGCTTCCTTAGGATCTCGTAGAAGTAACCTGATCATCTCCCAGATTTTTCGTGAACTTCTCCCAGAAATTTGATCTCTTGCACGTTGGCTCCACTGGTTGGTTGATTGTATTCATGAAGTTCTCCCAGAAGTTGGCTGAAGTTCTTCGAGAAGTTGACTGAGCTTATCCCAGAATTTGTCTGAACTTCTCCTAGAGGGTGTCTAAACTTCTCCCACGCTCTTAGAAATAACTCATTTTTCTCGTGACGGAATCCATCTTTGACATAAACGATGAGACGTAAACAAACAAGTCATGTAATATTAAGTGTTCCGAGTGTCAATTTTATGTCAAAATTGACGCTCGTTAATCTCAGAGCACCTACATGATTTTTCCAAGTGTGCAGTAGTTCTCTGAACTTCGCCCAGAAGTTGTCTGAA